TAGCATTTGTAGGATAAAAAGCAGTTGACCAAGGTTTTTTCACGTGTGGCTTTCTAGTGTGATATACTAGCATGAGGGGGAGGAGCCTGAGATAGGACAGTATTAAAACAGACTCTGCTCAGGCAGATGCTTGGCAAAAATGTCCCCTGTTTGTGAGCAAGGGTCACACTGCATTACTGACTGTTTTTAGCATCTGCACGTGATCCAAACAAGCTTGAGTTAGACTGAGGGGAACCTTGGAGGAAGAAATCCCCAAGAGTATCTGGAAGGTCATCAGTGGGAGCAGAGAGTACTAGGTCTTGGACACTGCGTGGCAGAAAGGGCAGTGGCTGCGTGTGCAGTGGAGGTGGCACTTGGGCCATGAGGATTGGTACCGTTACTTCAGGGGTCAAGGTGACAGCGAGAGCTCTTGGTGACCTTTCTCAGTCTTGCTCTTGTGTGGACTGAGAGGAGAAGGTAGCTGGAGAGACTCAGGCTTACCGGAGACACTGCGTGACACAGTGCACTATTTTGGGTTTTCATTTCACAGTTTTATTATAATTGCATTCCACCAGTCAGTGCTGGAAGACTTTTCCATGCTGGGGGCGTTTGCCTTTGGTTTTCTACACTCCCTGGTAACAAAGAAAAATCACCCTTCTGAGTGATGAGTACCAACAGTTTATCAGAGAAGCTTTTTTTTTGTTGTTTTCAAGAAAAGATTTTTATAAAGTGGATGCCCCAGATATTAAAATATGAAGGTGGGATTGGCTTCCCTTTGGAGAAGTACCTCTGCTCCTTTGAGCACCACTGGTGACCAGTAAAGGACCAATCGGGCAGCACATGTAAGTCTCCTAGAGTCCATTCTGCCTCCCTTTCTTACTGTATCTGGTTTTTACCTGAGGGCTGTCTGCAGGCAACCCTGTGCCTCAAGGCAGACAGCTCCCTGCTAAGTTGAGCTGTCTTCCCCTTCCACCTGTCCTGGCCCTCCTCTGGGGTTGCCCTTCTAAGCATCGATTCTCCATTCTTTCCTGGATTCCAAGGAAAGCACGCATTGAAACAGCTGCTCTGGTGACATTTAAAAATGTGCAGAATTGATAACGTTTCTTCATAGCCATTTCCTTTTGGTTTTCACTGTTGTGATATCGACCTTGTCAGGTGGTCACTCTTGTTTACAGAGGGGAAAGTGGTGAGCTGCTTTGTTCTAGGCAACAAAGGTCAGAGGACATTCAGCAGGAGTCCAGGCGAATCCACCTCTTCTCCCTCTGGTGGTACCCACCAGCATGGCTCTGTGGGTCCCCATGGTGTCGGGTGTTAGGGGAGTCCTGCACCCCCTTTCCGAGTGCCCCAGCCCTTTGCTCTTAGTACCCACAGCTCTTAGTTCAACTACAGCCTTCAAGACCTCGAAGAAAGGCATGTGCTTCATTGGGGCACATTCGATGGGCTGCTGATGTTCAACAGCCAATCTTAAGCTTCCAGAAATGGTGGTCCAGTCTAAGCTTTATCTGGGAGGAGAGAACAAACCCATTCCACACCTTACTTAAAACTGCTGCCTTCTTATTGAGTGACTCTGGTTGTTGGCCACCCCATCCCTAACCTGTTCTGGAGAGGCAGGTGCTGACAGTCCTGAGATTCTCACAGGTTCTGGCTTTTGTTTGCAGACCACCTTGGCCTTTCATAGACCCTGCACGTCTGCAAGCTTTGATTTTTCAGGGAGAGGGAAGCAATTTGAAATCCCTGAAGCCTAATTGGAGGCAGTAATAAGTTTTCTTTAGTTCACTGGGAATAATTCTTGGCCTTGTTTTATTGCAGTTATTATTATTATTTTTTTTTTTGTAGGGGGGAGAATTTAGGAAGCAGAGGGGGTAGTCAAAGGCTAAGGATAAAACAAACAAACAAACAAAAAAGGACTGGTTTTTCTTGCACAGTTGTTTTAACTTGCTTGGCTTCCAAGTGTTCTCAGTTTCCTAGGCCAGGCCGCATGGACAAGCTGTGACATGCAGTGTGGTGACTGCTCTCCTGTAGTTGCATCCTCTCACGTTTTCATCCCTTTGTGTACTGAGAGGGCAGAATGCTGAGATGGAGCCTCTTCAGGCCCGATTCTCATTCTGTAAGGCTTCACCATGTGTGTGTATGGATTCTATGATGTTAGCCAACCCGGTAGCTAAGGTTAAAAAGTGAATTTTCCCCATTTTTGATGCTCGCGCGTGAGCTTGGCTTTGTGATGATCTGTTCTTCAGTGTCCTTCCGAGCCCAGTGAGCATAGGTGACAGTTGGGGTCCACAGTGCCTCTGGCCTCTAGGGCTTCTTCTCCATGCTGTGTCACAGTCTTGTGTCCTTCACACATACAGCAGCAGCGTGCACCACAATGGCTGTTTTTCAATTCTCTTTTTATGTCTTTGAAACTTTCTGGAATGAGGCTTCTGCTCATTCCCCCTACTTTTTCACCATTTTTGTGAGAGCAACTGCCCAGAGAACAGAGACCCGCTGGCTGCAGTGCACTTCCCCAGCTGGGCCTTTTAAGAGCCCTACCCCCCCATTTTTCTTCTTATCAGGAGGCTCTTGGGAGCCTATGAGTCACTTGCACATAGTGTTGAGTCCTCCCTGCAGCTAGAGGGCGTAGTGGCCCCTTTGCTACAGAGATGCTGACAGATGCTGCCAGGCCAGTTTAGTGGAGCCTGAGAGGGCAGCCCTGGTGTGTGGGAAGAGTGGTAGCTCTGTAGTGACTTGCTGGATAGACGCCCTTCCATCCGCAGTGAGCCCAGTGTCCATGGGCCCAAGGCTCCAGGCTCTGATCTGTCTGCTGAGAAGAGCCTGTGTCCCTGAGGGCATCTGTGTGGAGCTCCGGGTACTTGGCAGGTTACCCCTGAGCTGGCTGGTCTTTCTTTTGACTCTGTGAACTCTTGAGTTTCTATTGGTGGAATTTATTGTTTTTTGATTGTGATTTCTGGCAGGTCCATTCAGCGATGTTCTGTGATCTCTTGCTCAGGTATAAAACGATGCTTAGGACACCGGCATGGCACAGAGAAGAGCGAGCCCTGACCCTGCACCCCAAAGACCTGGCAGTGGCTCTGGACCTGCTCTGGAGGGGATGTGTCAGCGCGGGCTGGCTGCAGGGGCCCCATGTGGTCGTGGGTAAGCGAGGCCCACGCGCCCTCTGGTCTTGACTCGGGCATCGGGGAGGGTCTGCTCTCCCGTGTTCCCCACCCTTACTGGTGACGTGTGGAGGTCGTGGTAGCTGCACGGAGTGCTGAGGACAGCCTAGGCCAGGGCCTGCGGGTCACTGTGGACTCTGAGTGTGCCTTGCCTGGGAGTCCTCTGAGCTTTGAGCCTGGAGCCTTTGCCTTCAGAAGGAAAAAGATGGAAATGGTTCCAGAGAAAAGTCATTACGCGTGCTTTCTCCTTAGATGTTTTCCTTGCCACTAACCAGAAACCTTTCCTGAGAATCTCAATTTGCGCTGCCCTCTTTGGGAGCAGAACTGACTCATTTCCTGCACGGTGTGTGATGTGCAGGACCCTTCCTCCTGTGTGCTGCGGTAAATAATCTTGTGTGACCTTTCATGGATTTGTGAAATCGTTTCTTGGTGGTGACTGCGGATGTGTCTGTAGGGCAGCTTCCCTCATCAGCAGAGAGCCTCTCTGCCTTCCTGGTTGCCAAGGACACGGAGTGCGGAAGCATGTGGAGAAGTCGCCAGGTGGATGTCGAGGTGTTACTTAGCTGGCGACTGCTCTTAAGAGATTTGAGAACTGAAACAGGAGAAGCAAAGTGTGGCTCACAGGCGCGTGGCTGTGCACCGAGAGCCTCGCTGGTATCTCAGGCTGGTGTGGAGACTGGGTCTGGCTCCACTGTCAGCTCTGTCCCTGCTCCGGTGTGTCTGTGTGAATCACTCCTCTCTGGAAATGGTGTCGCAGGGCGCAGCCTCTGGGTGCACCGGAAGTGAGAACCCCGAATGGCCGGAAGTGGCCCTTCACTCAGCTCTGTCCGGCGGGAGCCTCCCTGTGCTCTGCCCTCTGTTCCGATTCATGTGCTGAGGTCCTGCTGAAGGGCCGCCTTTCCTCTCTTCTGCTGCTTCCGCCCTCTCTGCCCTCCTCCTCCCATCTTTTTCTCCATCTCCTCTTCTTCCATTTCTTCCTCTCCTTATCCCTCCTTCTCTTTCCCCTTCCACAGCTCCTCCTGCTGAGCTTGGTAGTGGGTTTGGGATCCTCCTTACTCCCCATGGCTGTTGTTGGACCTTTATCTCTTATTCCTTCCCAAATCCTCCGCCTCTTTGAAGTTCGCAGGGCCAGACTGGACCCCAGCGTCCACCTCTGAGGAGATGACACC